TTTCCAAGCCAGATTGTACTTGATTTCTTGCTTCCCAAAATATTACAATTGGACTCAACATTTCTGATGACTAATCATCTAACATACTTAAAATATGATCAAATAATGGTACCTTAGGACTTATCTCCGTGGCAAGTTACTGCACGACAAGCCAGGGTGTGAAGCTACAGGGCACCAGTCTACCACACAGTAAAGTTCCATGTGAACACTGCTGCAGCTCAGTAAAAGTCCCAGAGTGATGCTTAACATATTACGACTTGAAGGCACAGTATGCCCACTCTGGGACTTTCAATGTGATGCAGCAATGTCCAAATGTCCTGTGCAGCAAGCTCATGCACTATAGATTCACACCCTAGCTTGCGGCACAGTAACTTGCCATGTAGACAAACGCTGAGACCACTATTGTGCAAACAGTTAAAATATAAAAGATTCAGCAAAGAGTCAGATTCACCTTTAGAGCTGAACTCATATTGGACAGAGAAAAGGCCACCTCCTTCCATCCACTGTCTCTTGAGAGAGAGGGTACCTTTAAACACTGTCCAGAGTTCTATAGTAGGACTTATTTGAACTTTCAAAAAAGAGGACACTCCATTGGGGGGGGGAGTGTAGCCCCGCCTCCTATCCACTCCCTCCCACTTCCCGCCCCCTGACTGCCCCCTGCAGAACCCCCAACCCATCCAACCCCCCCGCTCCTTCTCCCCGATCACCCCCTCCAGGACCCCTGCCCCTAACTGCCCCCTGGGAACCCACCCCCTATCTAAGCCTCCCTTCTCCTTGTCCCTGACTGCCCCCTCCTGAGATCCCCCCACTCTAACTGCCCCCCCCCAGGACCCAAACCCCTACCTGTCCCTTGACAGCCCCGATCCTTCTCCACACCCCCATACCCTGACAGGCCCCCCCAGAACCCCCGACCCATCCAACCCCCTCCTTCTCCCTGTCCCCTGACTGCCCCCTGGGACCCCCTACCCCTTCTCCAGCCCCCCAGCCCCCTTACCATGACGCTCAGACCAGCGTGTCTGGCTCCACATTGAGCCAGACATGCTGCCGCAGACACGCTGCTGCGCTCCCTTGTGGAGTGCAAGAGCTCCCACACCCCCACCAGAGCGCCGCCTGCGCAGTGCGCTGAGGCTGCGGGGGGAGGTAGGAGCAGGGGAGGGGCTCTGGGTGCTGGAGGCCCCGATGCGAGCGGCTCCATCCAGCCCGGCCGCTCTGTCAGCCGCACCGCGCTCTGCACTGGGAGGGAAATCCCAGACCTTTTTAGATTTTTACAAAGTCCTCCTGGACGGCTATTTAAAACCCAAAAATCCGGACATGTCTGGGATAATCCGGATGTGTGGTAACCCTATTCTATAGGATCATCCACCAGGATTCACTTATCATAAGCACTCTGTACAAAACCATTCAGGGAAGGAAAACCTTCAGGATGAGCCCTTAATCCTGAGACTCTGGAAAGACAAGCAGGAATCTCCATGAAGTGGGAGGCCAAGAGATAGCAACTATATTGAGTAGCTATAAGCTGCTTGGAAATAGTAGGGTTTCACAACCACAGTCAATACTGCAGGCCTTCCACACTGAATGGAACTCTTGCATTTGCCTACAGCATATTTTCTTGGTCATCTAGTGCAGGGGTTCTCAACCAAAGGTATGAGTAGCCCGGGGGGGCACACAGAAGTCTTCCAAGGGGTACGTCAACTCATCCCGATCAATGTTTCTCAACCTGGGGGTTGCAACCTTGGGGGGAGGTCACAAGCGCAGGTCTGGCATTAGGGGGTGGCAACCACACCACAGGAGGCCCCACAAAGCTAAGTTACATGTTTCAGCCCTGCATGGTGGGGCACAGGCTTCAGGGGTATAGTAATCTGGAAAGGTTTAGAACCACTGACTAGTGAATAAAATCTTCAATATGTGGTCAAAAAACTTAACTTGGGCATGACCCAGGAATTTCTTGACTCAATATAAGAAGGCTTACCTTAGCTGCCTTACAATTAAAACAGTGCCATGGGGGGTCCTCTGTGAGTCTTTCTTGCCTTAGGGTACGTCTACACTACTCGCCGGATCGGGTAGTGATCGATCTATCGGGGATCGATTTATCGTGTCTAGTGTAGACGTGATAAATCGATCCCCAATTGATCTGCCGTCAACTCCGGAACTCCACCACAGCAAGAGGCGGAAGCGGAGTCGATGGGGGAGCAGCGGCTGTCATTCCTATGCCGCGAGGACGCGAAGTAAGTGATTCTAAGTTGATCTAAGATACATCGACTTCAGCTACGCTATTCTCGTAGCTGAAGTTGTGTATCTTAGATTGATCCCGCCCCCTCCCCAGTGTAGACCAGGCCTTAGATACAGACCACGCTCACTCCAGGCCACTTCCATCACCATTGTGCTTTATTATACTGTTCTAGCAAGCCATTACTTGTAGTGCTATCTACATATTTACACAACCCAGCCAGCTCCCCCTCTGGCTTCTGGGGAAAAGGTGGTGGCAGCAGCAGACAGCCCTGCCTTCCTTCAGTGTGTCTGCCCCTTTCGGGGCTTCCTTCCTCTCTATTTATCTGCTCCCAGCTGCTGGGGCTGCTTCTCCCTCTAATTAGCCCTTCAACTGTGGCTGCAGATGTTAATTGATCCTCTATTAGGTCCCAATTAACCTTTATTTGTGGGGATTTGAGAGACAGGGTACTGGGTCAGCTCCTGCCTCAGGATTCCTGTCACGCAGAGGAGATGAAGGATCTAATCCATGGGCTGGATGCCTAGACAAGGTTTTTCCCATTCTTTTAAAACTCACACAGACAAGCATTATAGACCCAGATATTAAACATTTCTGAAACAGGGTTGCTTCTGCACTAAGGCACCCATATGAATACTGTGGGTCAATAGCAGATTCCATGGACCAAATTATCAGGAATTTGACTGAAAATGCACCTGCAAAAATCCATTTTCAGGGAACTCTCAACATAACTGCATAGGTGCTGGAACTGGGAATCCTGCTGCCCTCCTTGGCTTGAAGAGGTTTCCATCATATACAGGGTTTACAGTTTGGTTCAATGGTTCCCAGCACCCCCACTATACAAATTGTTCCAGCGCCCCTGCATAACTGGACATTACATGCATTAATTCCTGTTTGCATACACAACTTCACCCCTGGGTCTCAAATCACATGGGGGAAGGGGTTGGGGTGGAAACCTATATGGTTGTATCTGTCCTATCTAGAGTTTGAACTGGAGAAAAAATACCTGTATTCTCCCAAACTCCAACTCATAAACTAACCTCCATCCACCAGAAACACCAAAAGAAGGCCTTAAAACAAGAAGTAACTCAAAGTACATTGTATAGATCTTCATAATGTGATCATCCCCTTCCTTTATTTTGTACCAGCAGAAAAATAGTTAAGAAATCAGCTCTCATCGTTATCACTTTTGGACCTCAGAATTAGCACACTACTGAAATAAACAGGCCAGTTTACACATCTCAGCTATTAGTTCAGGCTGCCTGGAAATGCAAGCAAACATGATTACATTGGTTTACATGTCATTTGCATTCTGAAAATTATTGAGGGGCACTAAAGACTTAGCAAGAATAGACTCTGGGGCACAAGATGGCAGCCTCCAGGAAAAAATACCAGCTCACTGACCTACCATGAATGGGCCCAATTCAACCTCAGATTCTGCCTTTCCTGCCTGCCTCCTCTTCCTCCCCCCCGCCCCCATTTTCCACCAATGCAGGACTGCTCCCCCAGTGCATTTCCTAGTGGTTTTTCCCCCCTGTTTAGTTTAAATGTCTCAGGAGGCAGGGCTTTCATCACTCTACTTGGGCAATTCTTCCACACCATAACAGATCTTACTCCCAGAATGTTTTTTTTTTCTGATATTCATCCAAAGTTTTCCCTTTTCTTAATGTGTCAGCTAATTACTCTTCAAAAAGTCATGGAAAATGGAAAGTCCAACTCTGAAACAAAAGCAGGGCTTTACAAATTGTAAATAAACACATAAATAATAAAAAAGATTAGTACTGGATGTATGTTAAAGTATAGTACAACTAATTTTAAAGCAGTATCAGGAGTCTTGTTTGGGCTACATTTAAATTGCTGACAAAATGGTATCAAATTATTTTCCAAAGGAGAGAGTGTTCTGCTGCTAGTTGTGTAAACAAAACAGTAGTGGTTTGGAATGAACACTATAGGCTGACAAGTTTTTAACCACCTGATAAACAGGTATATATTATAAAATATTGTATTGATCTGACAACAATATGCATTAGCTATTAGTCAAATATTACTGATTTGTTATATTGCAAGTAAAAATTATTTGCCTCACATTTCCTCCCTGTAAACAATGGATTAAAATTCCCATGTTTTCACTTTGTGTAAAAATAGCGCTTAGATTTGCAAGCAAAGTAGAGTTGCAAGTAGTATACATATTTCCAGCTATTCAAAATTTGGATCACATAAAGCACTGTCATCATCCATAGATGCAACATATTGAGTTTTATGGTTTACTAACAGAATAGGTTAACAATCAGCCATAAGTGAAGGTGCTAAAAGATAAAATTAGCTAAATCTAAGCAATAATGCTTGACTTATTCAGTATGCCCTGTCTTTTTAAAAAAAGACATAGGGTAGTTAGTAGTTTTGTTTAATGTGGTTTAAAGAGCTGAACATTTTTACCCAGCACATAAACATATTGTCTGTGTTGTACATACAATAAATGAAGACGCTGCATCGAGAGAGAGAAATTTTAAACCTTTAGGATGAGATAGGTAGGAGTGTGGGAGGAGAAGAAAAAATGCTGCTATGGATTGCACACACACACCCCTGCCCCCCAGTGGACTGGCTCTGTGTGCGGTAGTGTGGTTCTACTGCCTTTTTGACCATGCATAACTGCACAAGATAGAGTAAGGGCAAGATTTTCTCTCTTGCTTGGACTATATAGCTCTGTTTTCCCAGTTATAAATGGGACTTAAATTAGAAAAGGCTCATAAAATTGTTTAGCGGGGAGTGTTCTTACCTCCTGGACAGTGCCTCACAGCCATTTTACATCTTCTGGACTCTGCAATGGTTGGGCAAGGTATTGTGTCCTTTGCCGGCTTTTTCACAATTTGCCTTGTTCTTGTTTCCAAACCCCATTTAAATCCACAGGTTTTGTTATTTCTGCTGCAAGTTCCCCATTCACTCCAGGGACCCACTTCACAGCCTTCTGATAAAGCAAAACAGGTCATAAATTAGTGGGCTTTGTCTGTATCTGTGTCTCTTTCTTTCACAATACATGGCAACTCTAATTAGCAAGAGTATTAAATTCGAAGTTATTGCTTGTAAAATTTATTGTTCAGTGAAATCTCAGATTATGATCTTAGTTTGCAGTTTTTACAAGGCAATTGTGTCAGAAACCTGAATTGTCCTAAAATCTGACACAAACAACAACGAGCCAACCACAGATTCTTTGTAACAAGTCCCTCTTCATGGCTTTCATTATTTTCATGGCTTTGTAACAATTCTCTCATCAACTGGTGCCTGTTTATATTTGACACTATTGTATCCAGAAGATTCTAACTTGTATTTTTAGGCTGTTTATCCTTTGAAACTAAAAATGTTCATCCAGAAGTTACAATCTGTGGCTTCTACTCAAGCAGTGTACAAAGTAGTGTTTGTACCAAAAAGAATGGTCTTTTGAAACTTTGCTTGGTGGGCATATTCTAAGAGTGTGGTTCACATAGTGTTATTAGCAGAATGAACAAATTAATTAAAGAATCAAGGTAAGGAGTTGGAAAAGGACAGAAGAAATAAAACACAAAACTATATGGTTAATCCACAAAAGCATAGGTATAGTAGCATTGTCAATGCCAACCATTCAAAAAGAATGAGTCAGCCTTCCTGCCCGTCCCCATCATGAGACTAGCTTACAAATCATGAAAAAAAATAACAATTAATAATGCTGGGTTCTCTTCATTTGTTCATGTTTTTTGAGCCTTTAGGTTCATGTTTTCCTCAGTCATAAAGGCTCAGTTTAAAAAATAAATAAAAACAGAGTCTCACATGACATGATTCCAGGTGTGAGGCAAATCCACAACCAAAACAGGGCTGCTCACTCAGCTGCCTCTCCAACATTTCGATGACCAGGTCTGTGGCAGCCACTGAGGAGGAGGACCTCCTTGCAGAGCCCCTGCTACACAACATCCTGCTTGGTGTGCAGGTGGTGGAGTTAGAGTGACCAGATGTCCCGATTTTATCGGGACTGTCCCGATATTTGCTTGTTTGTCCCGCGTCCCGACCGATGTGCGGTCGGGACACTGGACAAACAAGCAATTTTGCCCTCCTGGAAGGGCTCTCGCCCCCCCCGACTTTGCCCCCTCCTTCCCCCATTGGCTCCCTCCCCAAATCCCCGCCCTGGCCCTGCCTCTTCCCCATGCACGTGGCATTCCTCCTCCCTCCCAGGCTTGCTGCTGTAATGGCAGTGCAAGCCTGGGAGGGAGGGGGTGGTGGCCAGCTTCCAGTTCCTGGAGCTGGTGAGTAGGGGCACCTGGCGGGCCAGGGGGGCTGGCAAGGGGGCTGCTCCCCCAGGAGGGTGACAGGGGGGTTCCGGACCCCGGCAGCGGCGGGGGAGAGCGGTTCGGGGCTGCACGAGTGGCCATGTAAAGTTTATTGGCTTGGGGGGGACCCCGGCCGGCTCCTCACCCTGCCCTGTAGGGGGGTAGCATCCCCGCCCCACGCCAGCATGTTGAGCCGGCCGCCGCAGGCCAGGTAAGGTGCCGAGTCCCCCCCCCCCC